TCCGGACTGCTAAGCAAATCATTGGTACAACCCTCCCTTCTCTCCAAGAACTGTACTCATCCAGAGTGAGCAAAAGGGCTGGCAGAATCACTCTGGACCCCTCACATCCAGCACACTCCCTCTTTGAACTGTTGCCATCTGGTCGACGCTACAGAGCTCTGAGCACCAGAACGACCAGACACAGGAACAGTTTCTTCCCTCAGGCCATCCATCTCATGAACACTTAACAATAACTGTGGAACACACACTATTTATTCACTCATACACTTATTTATCTAACACACACACTCAGTCTACATTTCAATTTGCACATAATATACCTGTACATACAACTGTCTATATATACCTGTACATACAATTGTCGATTTGTATATTTTTATTCCTTATTTACTTGTTTTATTTTTAATTTACATTTATTTATTATCTGTGTTTTTTTGTTCTGTAACTGTCATTCTGTTACACTGTGGAAGCTTCTGCCACAGAAACAAATTCCTCGTATGTGTAAACATACCTGGCAATAAAGCTCCTTCTGATTCTGATTCAATTACTTCAATAGTAACAAATGATAATCAGGACTTGTCAGCCAGTAGCACTATAGCCTGGCAGAGACTTTGCTTTGAAGACCTTTTAATTAACTAACTTCCACATTTCAGTATGCCCCTGACTTCTAAGGGGTGTTTTTATTTGTGACTACTCCCAACAGCCTAGAATTCTATCAGTAGAACATTACATTTTTCTTTTCTGTTTGCAGGAAGAAGATTTGGTGTTGATAGAGGAGGCAACATCTTCAAGGCAAAACCTTAGACCTCATTCAACATCATCCAATGTTGCAATCCCCCTCAGGAGGTACACAAGCTAAAGCTAAAGCGAACATTGTCAATTATCGATTCCTATTTTACTAAATTTGCCCTGCATACATTTTTGTCTTTAATGTGAAGGCACTTGAAGCCCAGTGCCCGATATGCACAGGAACATTTCAGATAAATGCTGTTCGTTTTAACATTCTATTCATTAAAGAATCCTGAATTTTTTTTAACGCAACTGTTTTCAACACAGATAATAATAATGTATGTATGTATGTATAATTAAAAAAATAAGCATATTGCTACATTGTGACACTTAAGACTGGCGTAATGATGCTAAAAATTTTGCTTTATTTATATATTAAAATATATAAACACATAATTTTATTTATTTATTTTTACAGTGAGGAGGATGTGATTGGTCATGCAGCAGCACAGATAAACACCACAAAGACATCTGAAATCTGTCACGAGGTAACACGTCTGAAGTTGTGGAAACGTCAAAAACAGGAAGCCCTGTCTGTCCCTTGAAAATCACCTTCCTTGGAGAGCCTGTAAAAATAAATCAATAAAATGATTTGTATATAAAGCTAAAAACACTAAAGCAAAATGTTCTTTATTTTTTAGGTGTTTTTTGTTTTTTAATGTGAGTCACTATTACCATTACCTTTCTCCACAAAGGCTGGCATGGCAGTTCTACATCTGACACTGGAAATGTTCCTGTGCATATCAGGCACTGGGCTTCAAGTGCCTTCACATTAAAGACAAAAATGTATGCCATAAAAAAGACACAAAATAAACTCCATATTTTGGCTATATTACTTTTTGGTCTCATGCAGCGCACTGCCTGCATCTGAGTAACAAACTAAAAAAAACAACAAACAAAAAAGTGCATGTGATATTAACAGATGAACTACGCTCATATTTATAATTCCAAACAATCAGTAAGCGACAGGTGCTAGGAAACGCTGTTTTGTACTCATTTATTGACGAGTCGGCTGCGCTGCGGCCAACTGAATGCGCTGCTTCTCTGCCGCTCACTGCACAGAACAGACACCGAGAGAGGTGACACTTCTCCGGGAAAGTCAGACCTCGCATTCGCGGGACAGCACTGGCGAAATCTTCCAACTGAACCATAGCTAAGGTTTATCCAAAAAAGTCGCTAGGTTTGTCAGGAAAAAAGCCGCTAAAAGGGTCTGAAAGTTGCTAAATCTAGTGCTAAAGTCGCGCTCGTGTGTTTGAGACACGGGAGCTGCAGCAGGGGGCGGTGGATATTTGTGGCGGTCAATGTGGATATTGTGGATGAGTTCTTCTGTGTCATCACGTTCTATTAGTTCTACAGCTTCAGTTTCAGAACTTTCACGCTTAGTAACACATACAGCTGTGCCCTCACCACAGTGCAACAGTGAAAAGGGACCCCTTTCAAACAGTGTCGCAGTGGCAAATCCTTTAAATGAAAACGTACTTACGTGAGTCAGAACTGCCGGCATTTTAGTCTAACGTTACTCTCCCAGGATCAGTAAACAGTCCTCCATAAAATGTGCCGGCGATCCACAGCACTAAGTTGATGTATTCCCTCAGCGACCAGCACAGATCAGCTCTAGGCATGACGAAGCAGATATCGTCCTCTTTTGGAAGGCCAAACAAAGTAGTTTCGCTTTCACAACGAAACACAGCGTCTTCACGACATACTACACTACACATACAATACTACAGCGAGAATAAAAGTTACGCCTTCTTTCTTTGCGTGAACCTTTGGGCAAATCTTCCCACATCATGACGTAGATATGTGGGGGCATGTTAGAACGAACCGTTTTAGGTAGGCGTGGTTGACTCTTAGCTTTTATAAAGAATATCTCTTTGGATTTGAGACTTTAGTCTTTGCAACTTTACAGATCTTCTTTATACACCAAGAGCTTGTAACACTCCAAAGAGAAAGGAAAAATTGAAATCGCATCATATGACCCCTTTAATTATCTGAGAAAATAGTGTCTAATTCTCACTGGCTGTCTGGTTAATGTCCTGATAGTTTATCAAAATAACATTTACAGAATTAAATCAGATTATAAAGTTCAACTACATCCAGTGGCTATTTAAAGACTTGGTACAGTAGTTTTCGTTTTCATATTTATAGGAAACGGCCCATGGGCAATGGACTTTCAGGAACAATACAAGAAACTTTGGGAATAAGGTGTGAATGTGAGAGAAAGGAGAATTGCTCATTATGGTGCTGTTGTGAAAATTAAGAACATGATGGCATTAATAACTAATACAAAAGTCATGTAAAACTGTATTTTGTCATATAATCATTTATAATAATTACCTTTGATTAATATTAACGCCAAAATCATTAGGGCAAAAAGTTCATATTTTTTATGTTCTGCAAAACATTTATTTTACTCCAACCAATTTGCATGTAAATTGCATTGGAAACATAATGTATTTATTTTTGGGCATTTGGCCTTTTCTGCAACATAATAAAAAAGTCATACTTAAACCATATTAATGCCATATAGTCATTATGTTTTTAATGTTTTATATCACAATTATTTGATTACACTTATGTCATAATTTAAACTTTTTATCTAAATATGACTTATCTCATAAGCAGGGCCGTCCTTAGGGAGGTGCAGTTGGTGCGGCCGCACCTGGCCCCGCGCTTGAGGAGAGGAACAGGATGTTGGCAATTCATTGTATACACAAATGCAATGATGGTAAAAAAAATAAATAAATCTCTACAGTCGTGTGATGAAGAATGCAATCTACGGGATACACAATATAAACTAACATGCAATATTAAAAATAATGCACAGTAATACAAAAAGTACTTTAAACATTTTCACAGTGTCAATCTGAATGAAACCTTGCAGTGTAGACTCAGAAAACAGAACTTTTCTTTTGGTGAAGTACCTTTAGCACACTTTACATTGTGTTTACAGTGATTGTGATTCATCACTGAGTTTATCTCATTTAATCGTTTCAAATCGTTATTTTCATCTTATTCCCATGAGTACAATACTGTTGCCATGGAAACTAAAAGGAATTCTCAAGGGAGGGGAATAAACTTGGGAGTAGTTTGGTGTATCAGATTTAGACAGCAGCACTTGTTGGTGTCGATGTGGTTGGTAAACTATGCTGAGGATTAACACAGTGCCTTCTTAAAAAGCCCGTCTAACATGGCCACTGTAGAACGAGTCAGAGAGAGGCACAGACCAGGGACCACACACAAACACACTCAAGCTCTAAATGAGAGCCTGGCCCAAAACGTCTACCTCCCTCAATCGCTCTCTACACACACACACACACACAGTCTATTGCTTTCCTATACATTGACATAAAATACATCTGCTGTGGTGTTAATAAATAAATTCTACATAAATATTTTTTTTCTGGTCATACTGGCTTTTTAATAACATTTACAAACTAAAGGTGTCTCTGTGTTTGGATCTCCAAATGAGTTTTGGATAAAGGCTTCACGAGTTACCAGCACTCGGCTGCTCACAGTACATTGCACTCTTGTTTTCACAACACCTTGTATGCATTTCCTCCCATGTCTATGAATGCATCTTTGTAACGCATGTTAGACTTAAACTTACCACCTCTGACTCTCTGTGGTCATTAAAAATCCCATGGCACTTCTCGTAAAGTGTAGGGGTGTAACCCCGGTGTCCTGGCCAATTGCCCCCCTGGCCTTTGTCAATCATGGCCTCCTAATAATCCCCAACCACTTGCCTCTATGACTCTCTCTCCTCTCCACCTGTAGCTGGTGTGTGGTGAGCGTACTGGCGCCGCTGTCCTGTGGCTGCCGTCGCATCATCCAAGTGGATGCTGCACACTGGTGGTGGTTGAGGAGAGACCCCCCCACATGATTGTAAAGCGCTTTGGGTGTACAACAATACACAATAAAGCGCTATATAAATGCATCATTCATTCATTCATTCACCAATAAAAAAACCTGAGCATCCATGTGCAACTCAAGATTACAGCCTTGGAATATTTCCTGCAGGTGAATTATTTGAAAATGGAGATATTGTATTGAATATGAAATGGGGAAAAATTGTTTGTGTATTTGCATCTGTATAATACCATAATAATAATAACAACAACTAAAAAGTTTTCTTCTGTTATAATATTTTTTTTGTAATAACAATAATATTAAAACAGAAAACTAGTTTCCTTCTGTAAAAATAAAATATAAAAAATGATTAATTATAAAAATATATATTTTTTTGTTCAAATAAAAGATAAATATTCATTAATATTAATAATAATGAGAGTGATAAATATTTATATTTAAAAAATATTTTTTATTTATATTTACCTTTTTAATAAAAAGGGATGAATAAAACACAACAGAAACAGTAAAATTTATTTTTGTTTGTATCCATTGAGATCCACTTAATGAACATTGTCCAAACGGAAGGAGGACACTCACCACTGTCTGAGTATAAACAGCGAAGTAAACACTTGAATCTCTGGCCAACTCAAGCACAGACTATAAGCAGATTTTGTTGATGGGGGAGTCATTCCAGAAAAAATACAGCCAAATGCCATGGAGTGAGTTATGTTGTAATAAAACCAATGCTCTTTAAATGTTTTGTGCTTCTTAAAAATATATTCTTTGAAATAATACTTAAAAAATAATATGATATGAAATAATATGGAAATTAAGAAGCACATATGACTGTTTAGACATGTTAAAGTGAATTTTTTAGGCAAAATACATGGTGAATAAAAATATTTTCATTTCTATTTAATCTCAGATGTTTATAATATCTACCAACACAACGTTTGTTTTTAAAAATGTCCATACTGGAAATCAATAAATATCACATTAAACTAGTTTGAACCATCCTTTACTAAGATCACACTCCTTAAAAAAACATTTTGTGCTCATAAAATATCCCAAAATTGTTTTATTGACCTCTTGATCTTCAGTTTGTCTCACACTATACCTACAAATATTCTGGTTTCTAAAATATCATACATAAATGACCTTACATATGACAAATGTGTCTTGGTTGCCTGTTCTTAAGCCCAGTTCTCCTTATACAATACACAATAGAGCGCTATATAAATGCATCATTCATTCATTCATTCATTCACCAATAAAAAAACCTGAGCATCCATGTGCAACTCAAGATTACAGCCTTGGAATATTTCCTGCAGGTGAATTATTTGAAAATGGAGATATTGTATTGAATATGAAATGGGGAAAAATTGTTTGTGTATTTGCATCTGTATAATACCATAATAATAATAACAACAACTAAAAAGTTTTCTTCTGTTATAATATTTTTTTTGTAATAACAATAATATTAAAACAGAAAACTAGTTTCCTTCTGTAAAAATAAAATATAAAAAATGATTAATTATAAAAATATATATTTTTTTGTTCAAATAAAAGATAAATATTCATTAATATTAATAATAATGAGAGTGATAAATATTTATATTTAAAAAATATTTTTTATTTATATTTACCTTTTTAATAAAAAGGGATGAATAAAACACAACAGAAACAGTAAAATTTATTTTTGTTTGTATCCATTGAGATCCACTTAATGAACATTGTCCAAACGGAAGGAGGACACTCACCACTGTCTGAGTATAAACAGCGAAGTAAACACTTGAATCTCTGGCCAACTCAAGCACAGACTATAAGCAGATTTTGTTGATGGGGGAGTCATTCCAGAAAAAATACAGCCAAATGCCATGGAGTGAGTTATGTTGTAATAAAACCAATGCTCTTTAAATGTTTTGTGCTTCTTAAAAATATATTCTTTGAAATAATACTTAAAAAATAATATGATATGAAATAATATGGAAATTAAGAAGCACATATGACTGTTTAGACATGTTAAAGTGAATTTTTTAGGCAAAATACATGGTGAATAAAAATATTTTCATTTCTATTTAATCTCAGATGTTTATAATATCTACCAACACAACGTTTGTTTTTAAAAATGTCCATACTGGAAATCAATAAATATCACATTAAACTAGTTTGAACCATCCTTTACTAAGATCACACTCCTTAAAAAAACATTTTGTGCTCATAAAATATCCCAAAATTGTTTTATTGACCTCTTGATCTTCAGTTTGTCTCACACTATACCTACAAATATTCTGGTTTCTAAAATATCATACATAAATGACCTTACATATGACAAATGTGTCTTGGTTGCCTGTTCTTAAGCCCAGTTCTCCTTATTCAGAATCCAGTCCATGTCAGTCACTTCAGGCAGCAACGAGTTCCCAAGCTTTTTATACAACCGTTTTGAGTTTCAGCTCCAGGGGTCTGAGCGATGTTGTTTGTTGTAATTCTGTAGTTTAATCTGATCCTGGATTTGATTAATAAGGATCTGAGAAAGAAGGATCCCAACCAACTGAAAAAGAGAAGAGATCAAACTGTCAGTTCAAACTAAATCTAAATTTAGATGCTTAAAGTGACCCACAATGACCTTTTATATTATTTAGATAATTTGTGTAATTTCTCATTTTAAGCAGATTGCCTGCTTATTCCATGTCAAGAGGTACCTGTGGGATGGCCAGGCCCAGTGCGATGCCTCCCAACAGAAACAGGTTACTGTGGACCCAGTTCACCACTTTATCAATGCAGCCATTGGTGTTAATGTAGGCACCAGCTGCGAGATATTCCAGCAGCTGCACCCCATGACCACACATGGTATTTATAACAGTCTGACAAAACAGAAAAAAGGCAAAGTGGTATTAGGGGAAGGGACATTTAATACATTAATAATATATGTATAATATATTACAGCATTATTAGATTTAGATTTAAATTAGATTTAACATATTAATAATTAATTTATAACATTATAATAAAATATTATATTTAATTTATTTATTTACTTAATAATTAAATTACATTTTCATATAGTTAAATATATTACATACATAATAAAAATTTTAATTCATAGTGCAAACATCCTTTTTGGAGCCTTTTCTCACCTCCTCTTTGGAGATCAGGCAGCAGGAGAAGGGCACAGAACAGCGCTCTCTGCTTGGGTTCTCGTTTGAACAATTGAAGTACATGTTCTGAGACCAATCCAAGTAAGAGATCCCCCCACAGCAGTTAAACTGATCATATCATAAAGCCAAGACATCATTATCAACTACTACAGACTATTATGATGTATTATACATGTATGTATATGTAACCCTGACCTGTTTTTGCCCATAGTCAATGAGGTTCTGAAGATCTATATCATCCCTGTAATTCTTGATGGCGCTGTCAACCATTTCTGTTACTTTGCCACGTGCCTGTAGGGGATACATTTTATTTAAAATGTTGGATTATTAGAATAGTCAGGATTTAATAGTGCACTAAAATACTATAATCTGACTAATTAAAGGTAAATCAAACAAATTAAAGAGTTAAATTAGCGTTGGCTACTTGAGTAAATACAACCCAAGTTCACATTAGCTCTACAAAATGGATATAATCTGGCTTGTAGCATATAGGCATTAGCATACTAATCTGATTCATGATGATTTTTACCTTGTCTGAGAAGAAAAAACCCAGAACACCAGCCACTAGCTGCAGCAGAAAGATGATACTCAAGACGATGCAGAACTGCAAGGGAATTAAAGGTTGCTATTAGGATTTGCCTTGTACTTCACATTTTCTATGTAAAATGCACCTTGTTTGATGTTGTTTGTAGTTTTATCTCCACTAAGAGTGATTTCAGTCCTGACTAAAATTGTACCAAGACTGTAATATCGGGCACGTTCTAGATACTTTGCGGATTCAAAAACACAAATTATACATATAATCTGGAACGGTCTTGTCCCGACGTAACAATTCTGATCAGGCAGCTGGCTTTATTACTGACTTACTGTCTGCAGTAAGCATATGTTCTCCCTCAGAGAACCCACACAGCCGCAGAACGTGATGAAGAAAATGAGAATGCCCACTATCATCAATAACAGAGCAGGATCCACCGTCAGACAGGCCAGCGCTGTCTCTGTAGAGTAAAACAGAGACATATCAGATAGATGGACAGTTTTTGTGGCACTATGGATAGATAAACGTTATCTATAACACAGTATATACACAATTGGATCTATAAAAGATTCACTTTATCTCTGTAACCCCTATATTAATGGACACTGTGAATTAAATTATTAATGGCCGATTTTCTACAAAAGCACTGGTTACTGAAAACTACTGCTTTTACACAATGCTCCTTTACAACCACTAGGTGTCAGTATGAGTCCCAGGTGACTGCCATATCAGACTTCCTGAACCTTTTTTTGTGAATATCTTTCATGATATGGCTACAACTTGAAGCAAGCTACAAAATCTTTGCTTTTATATTCATTAGATGAAGTTAGTCTGTGATATAACATTTATAAGCTCATTTTCTGTAGCTTACTTGCCGCTTTTACGCTTTGTTGTGGAAAAACTGCATATGTTAGCAGCATCACCATATAAAGTAGCTTCAACATCTGGGAAGAAAGCTACACAAATACAGATATCTGAGGATATAAACTCTGTTCTGCTGTCCAGTAGTACACACTTACCGTGTTTAACTATCCTGGAATAAACTCCAATAGATATGAGGATCAGTGCGATTACCTATAACACAAAGATAAGCTGTGAGTCTTTATGTTAAAACAGATGTTGTACAAAAACACAGGATGATTCTAATGCCATTATCATTCCTCTTCAGGGTGTGGCAGGAACACATTAGTTTTCATAAGTTTTCCTAAATAAAAAAGGACTTGAGTGTGTAAATGGCTTGAATAAGTAAAGTAAATACTCTTATTGTCAAGTTTAAGGTCACCGTTTAGTGAGTGGCCTGTTGCTCACCTCAAACTGTATTGTGAAAAAACCTGACCAAGGCCAAGTTTGTATGTACTTACACTATATACAGCATCAGTATTTGTGAAAGTTCATGAGAAGAACAGAGTATAGGAAACTCTATAAAAAGAAGCGAAGCTTTAAGGTTCATTCACTTTCTGTTTCGCACACAACAAAAAGTCCCAGTTGTCTGACACAATGTAGCCCCCTTTCACTGATACAGCTATCAGATTACTACGAAACTCCACATCGTTTTTTTTCATCATTAATAATTCTGAAACCAAACTGTCCTATACACTATAAGAGGAAGGAAACAATCTCTCCTGTGCGCTGATCTAAGTTGCAAGTTTGCATATGTTTGAACATTTCCTGTATTCAAATGACTACAATACTGCATTACTTTTCAGTTTCACAAAGGTGAATTGCTGTTCTATATAGCTTTGTACCACTAAAAGGAGTGCAGATGTGCATCAACACACTGAAAAAAGATGATTTGGTGCCTTTTTGTACAGTGCATTGAGACCCAGTAGTCAAATGCTCAGTATTACACTGCATTATAGTAAAAACTATAGTAAGTTGTTCTTGAGGCTTTCAGCATGAAATCTCCTTAGGTATTTGCATGTGCAACAGACCTTAACTTAAATCAACTCATGGTGTCCATATGAGTTGTTAGAAAGTTCATAGTAATTTTAATGCCTTTCTGCAAAACAACTGAAGCATCAAAGCCTGTTTTAAATATTTTGGGTGTCTGATTCTCCCTCTGAAGAGGCGTTATTCATTTAGGTCTATTATTCAGTAAATGCTACAGGGCAACAAATAAAAGAAAGCATGGGGCCCCCAATCATCCAAACACCCTGCATCGCTCTATCAGCATATGAATCAATGAGACCCGCTGCTTAGCAACAGCCACAAGTTTAAAAAAGTTTGGGAACGTAAACTGGCAGTATCAAGAACTTCACAAAAGAGGGTTTTGTTGATGAGGTCTAATATGAACTCATTATTATTCTAGCAAGATCTTATCACACAGCAGGCCCAATTTATTGTGGTGAAATGCAGGAAGTTCCTCAAGTGTTTCTCATTATATCAAGTCAAGATCAAACAGGTTAGGCTCCTGTACTGTGTGTCACGAACTGTTCTGTGTTTTTCAAGGTATTCTGAGAATAGCCGGTGGTGCAGTAATACACATTGGTGTTGAGACATGCCCATGGGTGATGTTTTCAGTGTTTGTTCATACTAAACTCCACGAAAGCACGTCAGTCTTTATGAATACAGGTCAAGTTGCTTTTAAAACACTGTTAGACTCATTTGACCATCATTCAGTCTGGAAGACAACCAAGTACATTCATTCTGTTTGTATCTATGCAAAGCTTGCTTCGTGGTTTTGCATTAAAAAGTAGGAGTTTCAAAAGTCATCTGGTAAAACGGTAATCATTAAACTACATCATGTGAAGAGGAGACAAAAACAACTCTACATAAACAGCATTTCATTTATTTGTTCTTATATATATAAAAACTCATATACAAATAATTATTTATATTTTCTGTGGATAATGTAATAGAATATATAGTGTGCATATTTAAAAAGTGTTAAAAATTATTATTTATCATTTGTGTCTAATATATCAAGTTTATATATATAAGTTATATTTGAAAAACACAAAAAATTTAATATGTTTTAATGTTTATTAAATGTATAATATAAAATAATAGAATGAGCAACACTTACCCAAAATATCATGTTGAAGAAAAAAAGTAAATATTTCACAGCTGGACTGACGAAAGTGAACTCGTCGCTTTTCGTTCTTGGCATGATCAAAGGTGTGTGATGTCTCTCACCTACAAACCTTCAGCGTTCACCTAACTTGATCTGTCTTGATGTTCATTCTGCAGAATCAAATCATTCGCTCGGCTCTTTCTAAAACGACTCGTCAAGTCTCTCGATGATTATTAAACACCCGCTGGCGACTAAAATCAAAAGAACGCATCGATCGCATTGAATCTGGGCTTGTTGTCTTAAAAGGCATTTCCTGATTTAGCAGTCAATGAGCTCGGAGAAAGCCGAACACCCCTCGCATGTGCGCCAGGAGCACAAGTGTATGGCAAGCCCTTTTGACTTTTATTCATTCTCAGGATATGAGTTCTTGATATCAACAATTACATTTTCACTAGTTAAAATGTTAATTCTTGATATCAGGAATTAGATTTCTACTAGTAACAATTGCTATTTTTGATATCAGCAACTACATTTCCACTAGTAACAATGTTAATTCTTGATATCAACAATTACTTTTCAACTAGTAAAAACTATAATTCTTGATATCTGTAATTGTATTTTCACTAGTTAAATGTCACCATAGGCTGCCATTCAAAATCAATTGTTGATATCAAGAATTCATTTCTTACTAGTTGAAACTCCAATTTCACATATCAGAAATACAATTCTTACTAGTAAAAACCTTTATTTTTGATATCAGTAATCAGATGGTTACTAGTAAGGATGTTTCTTCTTGATATCAACTATTTAATTGTCACTAGTGACAATGTTAATTTCTGATATCTGGAAATGTATTTCTAATATCAACAATTGGAAGGGTAATTTCTGATATCAAAAATAGCATTTGTTACTAGTAGAAATCTAATTCCTGATATCAAGAATGAAATACAATTCTTACTAGTAAAAACCTTTATTTTTGATATCAGTAATCACATGGTTACTAGTACGGATGTTTCTTCTTGATATCAAATATTTAATTGTCACTAGTGACAATTAAATTGTTGATATCAAGAAGAGACATCCGTACTAGTAACCATGTGATTACTGATATCTAAAATAAAGGTTTTTACTAGTAAGAATTGTATTTCTGATATGTGAAATTGGAATTTCAACTAGTAAGAAATCAGTTCTTGATATCAACAATTGATTTTGAATGGCAGCCTATGGTGACATTTAACTAGTGAAAATACAATTACAGATATCAAGAATTATAGTTTTTACTAGTTGAAAAGTAATTGTTGATATCAAGAATTAACATTGTTACTAGTGGAAATGTAGTTGCTGATATCAAAAATAGCATTTGTTACTAGTAGAAATCTAATTCCTGATATCAAGAATGAACATTTTAACTAGTGAAAATTGAATTGTTGATATCAAGAATTCAAATCCTGAGAATGAATAAAAGTCAAAACGGCTTGCCATACAAGTGGGCGTTTCCTTTCTTCTATTCCTCTATGCGAGTCACCTGTGAGAGCCTTTGAATATTCTGTAAGGTGCGACCTAGCAAAACATACAACTCTGTAGTATTCTATAAATATATGTTCACTGTATATACACACACATGATGAACTAGTTAGCCTCATATTAAATTTATATTGAGGTGCTGACCCCTCCTGGAGACCCCTAACAGTGGCGGCTCGTGGGTTTTAAAATAGAGGAGGCACACTAATTGTATTGGTCTGGGGATCCCTGACGATTATTATTATTATTTAACCACTTTAAAATGGCTTTTTGTTTGCTTTTAGTCAGAAAACGACACATACAGCAAGATAATATAATTTCACTTACCTGGCCTATCACTTAAAGCAAACATCCAACAAACAAAGCTTAGTGCACATTACTAAGCACTGAAATATAAAACAAATAGAAAAGGAAAAAGCTTTTTATATATATATATATATATATATATATACACATACACACAGTGGTGTGAAAAAGTGTTGACCCCCTTCCTGATTTCTTATTTTTTTGCATGTTTGTCACACTTTAATGTTTCAGATCAACTTCTCTGCCCACCTCAGTAGAAACTTCCTTTTCCACACCAGCTCCAGATACTAATCCTAGTGCCCGCCTGCACGCTTCTAATTTACTTGAGCTCAAATATTTTAGTAAAAACATCGTCTACTTCACTTTGTCAGGCAGGTCCTATTTAAGAGATTTCTTGATTGTGAACAGGTGTGGCAGTAATCAGGCCTGGGTGTGGCTAGAGAAATTGAACTCAGGTGTGATAAACCACAGTTTTAACAGGGGGGCAAACACGTCTTCACACAGGGCCATGTAGTTTTGGATTTTGTTTCCCCTTAATAATAAAAACCTTCATTTAAAAACTGCATGTTGTGTTTACTTGTGTTATCTTTGACTAATATTTACATTTGTTTGATGATCTGAAACATTAAAGTGTGACAAACATGCAAAAAAATCAGAAATCAGGAAGGGGGCCAACACTTTTTCACACCACTGTATATATAAGAATAATTAAACACTGGGTCGTCAGAGTTGGTATGTGGATTTATCAGACACCTGCACTTGACATTTTATGAAAATCAAGCTCAAATAGAGTTAACAAGGTTTTTGACCAGCGAAACACATGAGATCTGTGTTTTGTCTCATTATAACGGCCGCATCTGAGGCAGCAAGTGCATCACATTATGCTTTCATAAACGTACAGGTTATAACATTTATTGAAGCTATATGGGCGCTTAGTTTTTTCATGTCGTTTAATACACGTGGCCAAAATCTCATGATAGACGATGAAGCGCTTTATGCACAGGATATTTAAAACGTAGCCTACAAAAGTAGCCTATTGGTTACAACTAGACGGCAAAAGCTATTCTCCGCTCTTCAAACACACACAATAAAAACATGAGCCTTTATAGACATAGTGTTTTAGTAAAGAAAACGCTGTACTTATTCAAACATAATTTATTATTTACCCTTGCATTGCGAACAAGCCGAGATCTGTCTCCAGGCTGCGCGCTTTGTTCTGAATGGAAGCAGGGTGAAGTTAAGAGGTTTTGCTGACAGTTTGAGGATCCATAGCGTTAAAAAGTTTAGTGTCAAACTCTTTTGAATGCGTTTCATTGGTTAAATATTTGTAAAACCCTCAAACAGACATAAGGAAGACCAATAGCAGTGATTTAAAACAATAATAACGAAATATAATAGAGAGTTGGGCTTTTCCACGGCACACCTGACTGGGCTAGTCTGACATACGGAAACGCCGCCCCTGCCCTTACAACCCACCTATACTCTTTAAAATGAACACCGGCATCTGTGGCTCCATGAAGAACCTTTAACATCTATAGAACCTTTGCATTGCATACGAGCATTTTTATAATGACAAACGGTTCAGATTATTAAAATGTTATTTACACTTAGAACAAATGGTTCTTTTAAAAACTGTTCACTGAGGAACACTACATTTAAAAAAAAAGTTTTCTTTTTTTTTAATGAGTGATGTCACAGTTCTGCTAATCGAAATGCATGTACAAATAATGTATTTTAGGAGTTGAAAGGAGACAGAGCAAGGTTTATGGCATGGCATCCTCCCTGCACAATGATTACACAATACATGATCAGTATTGCAGTGCCATATTTCTGTGCAATAAATTCAATGGGCTTATACAGCTAACCATTAAAAAGCATTTTAAAACTCCAGGATGTGCAGTCTGTGTGAGTAACTGACGTGTCATTTGTCACTGAAGACTTTCAGTGCACCACTGTTTTATTTCTGTTTTCTTGTTTTATGTGCCAGAGCAATGCGATAGCTGTAAAGACTGCAGACTAAATGCTGATATTGGGTTTTTAAACCTTGACATTTTCTCTGCAGGTAAGAAAGTTATAATATTTCTACTTTTAAAAGTGTCACATGATTCTGACTGTTTAAAGCTCTAGGCTACCCTGGCCTGAAGGCTGCTAGGGTGACGACAGTGTAATCATCTTTATGATGATGAGGATGAGGATGATGTTGTATATAACTTAAAATAAGCAATACGTTCATCCTAAACTAGTATGACTGAAAAAAGGCTTCATTAGTCATGACATTATTTCAGGATACATTGTGATTTAAGATACAGTAGAAATCAGATTTTTACTGAAATCCTTTCAATTTAATGTGCTTTCCTCTCCTTTCCTGTTTTTCTTGTCGATGCGACCTGGCCTCTGTCAAGTCTATTAGCTTATTTAACTAGATTTTTTAATTGTAGGCTATAGTGTGAGGTGCTAAGCCATTTGAAGCATTTTAAATGTTCATTTTAAAACACCTTAATTTTTTTTTAAATAAAATACTTATATATATATATTTTTTTTAGATATTTGGTGTGTATTATATATATATATATATATAACTAGCTTAAACCAGCTACGGCAGGTCAAAATACACATATAATACCTTGGTATGAACTTGTTGTTGCATAGTTTTGACACAGGATGGCGCGATTACATTGCACTTGCGACCTTGCATTGTTATATTAGGGAAAGTAATTTATTTTGTATAAAATACGCTGTTTTGCTCTAATCATAATTACTTACCAAACTTTAATTACGCGTTTAACAATATCTCTTAAATCAACCGGATATCATGTGTTGTGTAGAGTATTTATCTCCGTTATCTGATACGGTTGAGTTAGTAAAGAACTACAGTTCCCATGTTGCTCTTCTGGCGTCAGTAGTGACGCATGAGGTACGTAGCGCTCTTCTTATCAGCGCAGCTGATGACGCAGCTGTAGTGGGCTTATTATTTTTTTTTCAGGTTATTTTATAGGTTTGCAGGCTGTTTTTTTTTAGTGTGTGCTTGCTCTTGATGCTGTGTTTAAGTATGTTAAGTAGCCAGTATGTCATTGCATGATTGGTAGATAAATCATGATAGATTATTTTGAGGGCATGTAATTATATACCAGCTGAGTTTGACCACTGCATGTCTCCAAATAAAACCAAGGGGTTTGTCAGTGTGACGTAAAATGTTTGTTACTTAATAGCTGATCATGATTGAATTAAATCAGCATTGTTTGTGATTGTTTGAAGTTGATTCTTAACTTTTCTTTCGTCACAGAGACCTTTCTTTCCACCATTAATTGAAAATAGGAAGAGGAAGTAAAGCGAGAGCACGATTGCATTCACAAGGTCATCATAGCCTGACATGCCTGTGTTTCCACTGCTGCTATGGAGCACGTAACTGCTAGTGAGGAACTGTCCGCTACACTGATGTACCACGTGGAACGCCCTGTGCTCAATGAAGGCTATATTGACTCCGAGCTTCTGCATAGGAAGAAGAGGACACCCAAGTCCTTTCAACAGAGAATAGCTGAACATCTCCGGTAGGACTATTTAAATAAATTCCTCTTTCTTTGTTATTGATGATAGGTCTGTTTTTTTTTCTGAGCTACAGTAGAGTCCAAAAGTCTGTGATTGTATTGAGAAATATTCTGTACTGAATTATAGGGCACAAATCATACAAGCATATTTGTGACATTGATCATGCGACTCTTTTGTACAGATAAGATGTTCTTTCAGTGAAGCACAAGGTGATCATTCTCAAATCATGCCTGTGGGCATTATCATCAGCTTTTACTCTTGTGAAGTTCATGCAGTTTGAGTGTTGTTGTTGTAAAAACAATAGAGAGACAAACCAAATACATTCTGACATTCGTGATCTTTTTTTTTTTAGTTCAAATTGTTATTCTGATAATATAAGTAGTAATGAAAAAAAAAAAAAAAGGCTAAATACAAGTACTAGTGGTATCAGATTTTTGGACCCCACTAAATATATAAACTGGTTTCAGTTGTTCTATTTCACATTATTGGGACTGTAATTTTGAACTATAATAATTTTATCAGGATCGAGTGTTATCTGAACTTGAGAAAATCAGCTTGGACTGATAACGCAACTATTTGACTAAGTAAACAACCATTTGTCATTTATGATAGTCTTATTATTTTATCATTTCCTCAATATAATATTGCAGGAGTACTAGTATTACACAACAGTATAGTGACATTACATTTGTTAAACCTGCCTATCCCAGTCTGAGCTGGATAAATTGATGATTCAGTTTCTTTTAATGGACAAAGGCGGACTATAATTTAAGTGGTCATTAACTGATAATCTTCTCCTCTGCTTTTACGTCTTGTTCACTTCTATTCAAATATGGTGCATCACGGTGTGTAACGTCTGATTGAAATGTCTTTTAAATGTTGTTTGCAGAATTTTTATTTGCACGTTATAATCACACACATACAATTTTAAAACTACAGTGAAGAGGAATGAAATATTCATGCAAATAGTCATCTCTGTCTTATTTTTCAGGTGTTCATCTGAGAAAGCCAAATCTGTTGTGTTTGGTTTTCTTCCCATTTTAACATGGCTGCCATCATATCCACTAAAGCAATACCTGTTCGGAGACATCGTTTCTGGCATCAGCACAGGAGTAATGCAGCTACCTCAAGGTCAGATTTGATTGACAACTGGTTAATATATTTAAAAAATATATATATTATATTAAAATCATATTAAATGTATATGTTTAATAGTAGGCAAGTAGTAATTTTGAAGTATGCAGGCGAGAAAGTGTTGTTTATTTTAATAGTAATAATAATTATTATAAATATAGCAAATAAATGTAACCATATTAGTAGTATTAATAATGTTGTTGTTTGTTTATTAATTTATCAATGGCCATATTCATTTGATAATTTCTCTTTTTCTTGATTTGTCACATTCAACAGGTCTTGCTTATGCGATGCTGGCAGCTGTTCCTCCAGTGTTTGGTTTATATTCATCGTTTTATCCTGTGCTATTATACACATTCTTTGGTACCTCCAAACATATATCAATAGGTAAGACTCATTTGCGTGTGTGTCAGGCTTTTAATAACATGCATGTGATGGGCCACCCACAGTTGGTTTGTTGACCGTCTGGTGCATATTGCTCACATAATTTGAAAGTACTTCCTTGGTCTGGGAAGTTGTAATCTGATTGGTTGACACTACACAATGACTTCATGCAGCGGGACTATGTGAAGTCATGCAGTAATTTAAAAAAAAATATATAAAAAATTTTAACACCTGTCTATTATTGTTATATATATTTTTTTAGATAAACCCCACCCCACAGATCACATTAAATCAAACTGCGGTTGGTTGCTTCACTTGCTGGTCATATGGGCTCGGAATAAGCTGCAATGTGGGCCTTTGTTTTTTTCCCAAATGACTAGCTGACATGTGACATTCCTCTGTACAGTTTTGCTAAGTCAGTGTTGATCATCAAAGCCTTACTGGCAGACTAAACATGTGTAGTTCAATTTGATAAGATTTAAAATCCTTAGTTTGCTTTTCGCAGCACTTCCTGAATTCCTGTGGCAAAGTCTCATCAGAAAGTCTGCTCTGTTTGCAATGACTTTCGTAAGCAGGAAATAAAAGTGGCGTTTCTAAGAACCTTATTAGTGCTGGTGCAGACATCATCGCACTGTTTTATGGGTGTGTAGATGTCCTGAAGTGTTGTTTTTCTCCTTTTTAATGTGGGGATCTTGAAATCCTCAGAAATCTCTGCTGGATATTAGAAACACCACCAAGAACATAGATCAAAGGTTCAAAAGTCAAAAGGTTACCCAAACCAGAGTTGTTGCTTCAGTATCTTGTTTTCTCTGCCCCTGTGGCTACTCTTGAGAGAGCGAGAGAATTGGTACTGGTCCAAACATTTGGCAGGGTTCTGCTGCACAGAGACCTGCAGCCTCCTGTTTAAACAACACTTGCGCTCTGTCCCTCTGAGGTGTAATGGCAATGTAAAACAGACCTAGTTGCAGAGGCATTTGTCTAGATGAAGAGCCAAGGCAGAGCTCACTTACATAAATGCACTGAGACATATGCTCGCATGATAAAGGAGTTCCTGTTCCTGTGACAACAACACTCAACCACTGAACAATGTGTACTGAAAAAATGGTTAAAATTTTTATTTTTCATCACTGATTTGGGTGGTAACAGGCTTGCTAAATAATGTATCTTTTTACGCATACACTTAAAGGCCTTAAAGTGGTTGAACACCAGTAATTGTTGCTTGAAGATATAATAATAATAATAATAATAATTATTATTATTCTGCTGTAAAAGTTATCAATAATAATAGATGTAAATGCAGATTACAATATTTTAAGTTGCAAAAAATATTATTTTGATTGTTATATTATGATATTAGACATAAATGCAGATAATATTTTGTTGCATTTATTATAATATAATATAGCCCAATCACACTTTTAAAGCATAGCGTTTCACAAAGAAGATTTTAAATGATAAAACAATAGTTGTTGTAAAAAATAAAAGACAGTATTTGTGTGTGTGTGTGTGTGTGTGAATCCTACAATGTGATTTTCTGGATTTTTTCCCCTCATTTTGTCTCTCATAGTTGAGGTATACCTATGATGAAAATTACAGGCCTCTCTCATCTTTTTAAGTGGGAGAACTTGCACAATTGGTGGCTGACTAAATACTTTTTTTCCCCACTGTATATATGTATATGTGTGTATATATGTCCGGTAAGACAGCTTATAACATAGTAAATAATCACAAAGATAATTTGTGATCCATACTTAACTTAAGCACAGTTTCCTTAAGTGTTTTTTAGACACTTAAGTTTTATCGTATGTATTTATTTATTATTTTTTAGGTACTTTTGCAGTAATCAGTCTGATGATTGGCGGGGTTGCTGTAAGGGAGGCTCCGGACTCCATGTTTGCAGTCAATGGGACCAATGCATCACAGATTGTGGATTTTGAGGCTCGTGATGCCAGAAGAGTGGAGGTGGTTGTAGCTTTGACAACCCTAGTAGGAATCATACAGGTAGGCTGCTATCTGGTCTTACCCACAGTTTTGAACATCAAAATATTCTATAATTTCTGATATCAAAGACAGAATTGGTTAATTATTTCTCCCTTCATATGATGTATTCATCTTTACTTGTCATTGTTTGCCACGTTAGAACTGTAGTAGATCAAGGCTAGTGCATTCTCCAGTATCTGTGGTTGGAATACAAGTTAATTCCTGCAACATAGGTGTATGATGCATTGCATTTTTGTGATCACCCCCATCTTTTGTAGATAAACCATCTGAAAAACACTCTTGTGCAAGAGTATTCTCTTGTTCTCAGTCATTCAGCTCATATTGTCAGTTAAAATGGCCAGCTTTATACTGAAACACATTTTATGAGAAAGAAGTGCAGTGTAATGTTACCATAAACCTATTAAAACAGGTTGAGAGTATACATTACAGACATGCAGGCCTACACAGTGTATATAATAGACACCTTTCATGGAAAACTGTAAACCTGCTCAAGCTGATGACTTCATGTGATTCTCCTCAAGTTGCTGTAGCCCGAAGTACTCTCAGATTGATGTTTGGGAACATAATTATGTTCTGATCTCCTATAGTTTGTTCTGGGTCTGCTGAGATTCGGCTTCCTGGCGATTTACCTGACTGAGCCGCTGGTGCGAGGTTTCACCACGGCTGCCGCTGTGCACGTCTCAGTGTCGCAGATCAAGTACCTGCTGGGAGTGCACACTGCACGCTTCAATGGGCCTCTCTCTGTAGTGTATGTGAGTAACCTTTGACCCTGAGGAAACCTTAGGGTGTTTTTTTGTCGATATGTGACACTGTTGCATCTATAAACATGTTTCACATTACTTCATGAACACTTACTCACTTTTTCTCATTGGTGTTTAAGGTCTTAATTAAATCATGAATGAATAAAGGTCTTTTGAAGTCCAGTTTTTGTTTTTAACTAGGAGTAATTTTCCTTAATTTAAATAAAATGTAAATATTAGATAAAAAAAACTTAAAATGACTAAATGGCTTTAAACACTTGAACGAAAATTACAAATGTTTGTATGGCATGGCAACTAACTGAAATAAAATATTTAAGTTGAAGTGCTAAAATTACTACATTACAAAAAAATTACTAAAACAAATATAAAAAAATATAATAAAAACACTGAAAATTCACAAATGATAATGTAAAATATAAATTATCCTATAAATATGTATATTAATAAATACTGTAATAGTATATAAATAGTACTAAAATAACATTAGCATTGATCTGAAGCGCCTCGAATGCACAGCAGATGTGTGAATAGTTTGCCCGGACCCACGTGCATCTGTAGACCAGCGCAGGTTATTTCTCACACTTTAATAGTATTTATAGCTCCTAACAGGCTGTGTGACTATGAGGAATGATTACTACATTCTTCAAAATCTATGTCAGTATGCAGCTTTCCCTATTGCTCGCGTGCCATAGGTTGCCGACCCCCGCTCTATACTGTGATATTGTATAGCTTTATGTTCTGTTCATTTTGTTTTTCCCCAGAGTCTTGATGCTGTCTTCAGGAACATTGCAAGCACTAATGTTGTCACACTAATTATTGGACTGGTGTGTACAGTGTTCCTGTACTTCATCAAAGATCTCAACGAACGCTTCAAAAAGAAGCTACCTATCCCCATCCCTGGAGAAATTATAGTGGTAAATCTTTAAACGCCCTTCCTATGAAACGTTGTGCTCACACATGCACTCAAAATCCCTTTGAGTAAATGCCTGATGTTCTTGTTCTTTTGAAGGTAATTGTGTCCACTGGAATCTCATATGGGATGGTTATGTCTGAAAACTATGGAGTCGAAGTTGTGGGTAAAATTCCCACTGGGTAAGATCATGCAAATGTATATACACTACCGGTTAAAAGTTTGGGATAAGAACGATTTTTAATGTTTTTTACAGGAGTTTCTAATGCTCATAAAGGCTGCATTTATTTGATCAAAAATACCGGAAAAATTTAATATTGTGAAATATTATTATAATGTTTTTCTATTTTAATATACATTAAAATCTAATATATTCCTGTGATGCAAAGCTGAATTTTCAGCATCATTACTTCAGTCTTCAGTGTCACACGATCCTTCAGAAATCATTCTAATATGCTGATTTATTATCTGTGCTGGAAACTGTTGTGCTGCTTAATATTTCTTTGGAACCTGTGATACTTTTTTTTCAGGATTCTTTGATGAATTAAAAGTTAAAAAGAGGAGCATTTATTTAAAATAGAAATCTTTTGTAACAATATACACTACAGTTCAAAAGTTTGGGGTCAGTAAATTTGTATTTCTTTTTTTGAAAGAAATTAACTTATATTCAGCAAGGATGTGTTAAATTGATAAGAAGTGATAGCAAAGATTTATTTTATTAGAAAAAATTAATATTTTGAATAAATGCTGTTCTTTTTAACTTTTTATTCATTCTTTTTTTGAAAGAAATTAACTTATATTCAGCAAGGATGTGTTAAATTGATAAGAAGTGATAGCAAAGATTTATTTTATTAGAAAAAATTAATATTTTGAATAAATGCTGTTCTTTTTAACTTTTTATTCATCAAAGAATCCTGAAAAAAGTATCACAGTTTCCAAAATTTGGCAGCACAACTGTTGCCAACATTGATAATTCTAATAATAAATCAGCATATTAGTATGAATTCTTAAGGATCACGTGACACTTTATACTGGAGTAATGGCTGATGGAAATTTAGCTTTGCATCACAGAAATAAATGATATTTTAAAGGATATTAAAATAGAAACCATTATTTTATATTGTAATAACATTTTGCGAGATTACAGTTTTTTTCTGTATTTTTGATCAAATAAATGCAGCCTTGATGAGCATAAGAGACTTCTTTAAAAAAACATAAGTCTTACTGATCCCAAACTTTTGAGCGGTAGTGTATATACCAAACTGAAATGGTTTTACATTTTTACAAAAGTTTACATTTGAATATTTCTTCCTTAATGTTTTGTTTTAAGGTTGCTGCCACCCAAGATTCCAGACTTCTCGGTCTTTCCTGGCCTCTTCCCAGATGCCTTCGCTATAGCTGTTGTTGGCTTCTCGATTGCAATATCATTAGCCAAGATCTTTGCTCTTAAGCATGGCTACAGTGTGGACGGAAATCAGGTAGAGAATAAAATAAAATGTCTGTAAATGTCATAGTTCCACCTTGTATATTGGTCCTACTTAAAAATGTAATATGAATTGCGTTATAAGGCAAAATATCAAACCAAGAGGCATTTACTTGAAAAATATGATTGTTTTATCTTTCTTCCAAGCAACAAATTCACAAAAAGAAGTTTGTTAGGTTTGAAGTGATCTAACAATAGATGTGATGCTACACTGCATCTAATTCAGTTGTGCCATTCTTCATTGTCAAAGTGATTTGAATCTGTGTTTCTTAGAGGCAGGGACATGTGTTTTATATGGCTGCCCTTTATTTTGGTTTCTATGGCTTTAAGTTGCAGCTGAATGTCTAAATCAGCCAGACTCTGCAGTTATTTAGTTACTTGCCATTTAGTAGATCCTTTTGTCCAAAGTGACTTATAGTAGTACTATTTGCAGGGAAAGTTCATATGGGACAACATTATGTAAAGTGGCATGCTTAAGTGAACTACAATAATAAAGATGGATTGTGACCTCAGTAACTCACCAGTTTGTCTGTTTAGGACCAAACTTTTGTTTGAGGAGCCAAGTTCCTCAATGAGCACGCCGACAGTAACTTTCTGAACTACTGTTTATATAAAAAAATCAGGCTATGTTCTGAATGGCATCTACAGTATATTTATATGTACACTACCATTCAAAAGTTGGGTTATAAGCTTTTTATTTGTTTCTGGAAGAAGTCTCTTTATTCTCAATAAGGCTGCATTTGATCAAAAATGCCATAAAAACAGCACCATTGTGAAATATTATTACAATTTAGAATAGCTGTTTGCTATTTGAATATATTTTAAAATGTAATTTATTCCTGTGATGGTAAAGCAGCCATTAATTCAGTATTCAGATCCTTCAGAAATGATTCTATGCTGATTTGGTGCTCAGGAAATATTTCTTATCATCAATGTTGTCACTTTATTATTATTATTATTATTATTAATTTAATTAAATTTATTTTCATAGAAACAGATATTTTTATTTTTTTCATAATTCTTTGATGAATAGAAAGTTAAAAAGAACAATTTATTTGAAATATATGTTTTTGGTAACATTAGAAATATATTTACTGTCCCTTTTGATCAATTTAATGCATCCTTCTGAATGAAAAGTATTAATTTCTTAACAGGAAAAAAAAAATCTTATGGTAGTGTATATTATGCTCAGTATGTAAAATAGGCTTTATACAATGTGAGCTATTATGATTACAAATCGCATGGACCAAAGTTTTTGAAGCCACAGCAGTTATTCAATAATTTTAATATTTTTTACAAACCTGAAATATAAGCATATGGTCTAATGAAGTCATTTTGTGTTTAATGTGACTGTAGGAGCTCATCGCCCTGGGACTTTGTAATTTTATGAGTTCATTCTTTCACACGTTTGCCGTTACCGCCTCAATGTCTCGCAGCCTGGTACAGGAGAGCACTGGAGGACATACTGAAGTAAGTGAGACTTGTTTGTGTTAGATGCCATATCGGTGACATTATGTACATATGAATGCAGTTGGTGATAGCAAAACTACATTTCCTGAAATGGAGTGTCCCTTTCATAATAACCTCATTCTCAGTGACTATATCACTGCCATAAAACCATAAAGATAAGATAAGACAGTCGTGCCTCCTGAAAGACTCGATTTAATTGTTAATGTTGGTCTGCAGATTGCAGGACTCTTGGCGTCTCTACTTGTGCTACTGGTGGTGGTGGCCATTGGATTTGTCTTTCAGCCATTACCTACAGTAAGTGAAGTGCTATCTGATACGCTTGAAAATGGAGCTCATTGATTTTGTGCAAAAATTAATAAAAGAAATTGACTTAAAATGTTTGGTCTTTTTTGGAAAGCACAAAAAACAGTCTGATTTGCTACCCCAAGCCCTCTTGGCAGAACATAAGCATTCTTAGTGCAAAACGACAAAGGTCAGAGATCAGATGGTGTTTATTAGTGTCGTCTTTGTACTCTCATTAGACAGTGTTGGCTGCTATCATCATGGTCAACCTCCTGGGGATGTTTAAGCAAATGAAAGACATTCCTGCATTATGGAGAACCAGCAAGATTGAACTGGTGAGTGTCAGAGGCACTTAATTTGGTTGTGTTCATCATACTGTTTTGACCAATTACTATCTTTTAAAAATATTAAATCTCTTTTCTTTGAATTTCTCTTTTTAAACGTTCGACTCAAACTTAATTTTTTGGGACATGGTGAAATTTGGTTTTGTTGTTGTTAATGTCTGACATGTTTTCTTTAGGCAATTTGGCTGGTGTCCTTTTTCGCATCAGTTCTTCTGGGTCTGGATTATGGTCTGGTGGTTGCCATGGGCTTTGCCATACTCACAGTTATTTACAGAACACAGTGGTAATCTTGCTGCTCTGATGCCAATTGATGACAAAATTCAGCATGAAAACCCTGTTTTTTTTCTGTCTTTGAATATGAAATCTTGATTTCATGAAAAAATTAATCAGAATTTTATTATTTATTTTTTTTAAAGTATTTTTACTATATAATTCGAAAAATAATATATTGTATATTTGTTTTTATACATATTTCTTATTCAATGCATTTTTGGATTATGGATCATCTTTGAATTATTTTGACCTTGTTATTACTTTCGTATTTGCCAAAGGAAATGTCTAATTCAGATCTTATGGTTTTATTTTAAGCCCTAAAAATGCTCTTCTTGGACAAATCCCAGATACAGGACTGTACTTTGACGTGGATGAGTATGAAGAGGTGAGACAGTTCTTTTAAAATGCATTAAACCATCGTAATATCATCACTGATAACCTAGATCCTTAACATTAGCTTGCTCCATTCCAAAAGTGCTGTTCACAAGCTTTTTGTAGTCACAGGCATCCAATTAGGCCTGATTTAATCCTGATTTTTTTCGACCATAGTCTTTGTCCTCTTATCTGCTGTTTGTTCTCTTTCTCAAGGCTGAGGAATGCACAGGGATTAAGATTTTTCAGTCCAATACTTCCATATACTTTGCAAACAGTGACCTGTACGTCAGTGCCCTCAAGGCAAAGGTGAGACCAAATGCTTAAAGTTATTATCTTAAAATATTTTGTGTTTTATGGTTCTGTTCTTGAGTATTTATTAAACATACGTTGTGTAGAGAGATTCCCATAAGCAGCAGGCTTCATAAAGTTCTGTACATTTTACTTATGACTACAGACTGGAATTGACCCTGCAAAACTGCTAGCTGCCAGGAAATCACAGCTAAAATATGCGAAAAGAGACAACGGGGAGAGGAAGGCTGTAAACCACTGCTCCGCAGTAAAGAAAAATGCAGTTGTCTTATTGGTATGATGTTTTTTTTTTTTTTCCTGCATATAATGTGGTGCATTTTGTCTTTATGTTGGTGTGTATTTAAGATATTATTGTATAATAAATGAAAATCAATACTCTAAATTATTAAATGTTTATTCTTTAAAAGTGCCTATTTATATAATTTTCTATATTTACCACTAATTTATTACATATTGTATAAGAGTATACCTAACCTGAAGGGAAAATATTTAATAAGCAAAAAAAAAGAGGACATGTACTAAGGATAAATGGTTTTTATTTAATCATTGATTTCACAAGAAAAGTGACAAGACGCATGAGAATCCTTGAATTATCAGGCAGAAAACATTTAAGTGAGGAAAAAGCACATAAGAGGAAAACCATTTAGTTGTAAGTCATATAGCGAGGGGTGGCGCTGAATTTAGCGTAGGATTTGATGACCTTGTTCACAGCCTCCAGAAAGTCTTTCTCTGTAGCAATTTTTCTACGAGCTCTGATGGCAAACATTCCTGCCTCTGTACACACGCTGCGAATCTCAGCACCTGAGAGAAAAACACAGTTAGCAATGTTAACTATAGCTTGCAAGGCCTCCATGTTTAGGCTTATGCAAATATTATTTCAATTGTGTGAACTCACCTGTGCTGTTTGGACAGAGACGTGCAAGAAGTTCAAAGCGGATATCTCTTTCCACACTCATAGAGCGGGCATGAATCTTGAAGATGTGAGTACGTCCCTAGAAACAGAGCACATTTAAATATCTATTAGAATGTGATATTATACCAAGTCTATCTTTAGCCAGTAAATGGTAGCTATTTTGTCACTATTGTCGCTAACACTCACTTCCAAGTCAGGCAGGCTGAACTCAATCTTCCTGTCCAGCCGGCCGGGTCTCATCAGAGCAGGATCCAGGGTGTCTGGTCTGTTGGTGGCCATCAGGACTTTAATGTTTCCTCTGGGATCGAATCCATCCAGCTGGTTGATCAGCTCCAACATGGTTCTCTGCACTTCATTATCTCCTCCAGCTCCATCATCAAAACGAGCACCTGTAGGAGAGCAGCAAAAGCATAATAATGGAGACTTAAAGATTAAAACTCTTAGACCAAAACAAAAGCTAACATTTTAAAGGGACAGTCCCACCGAGAGTAAAACTTCTGCCATTTATTCACCCTCACGTTGTTCCAAACCTTAATGCAGTTCTTTCTTGTGCTGAACACAAACAAAAGATATTCTGAAGAATGTTGGTAACCAGTTCCAGTTCCCATTGGCTTCCATTGTGGTTTCTGTCCGTAGAAATTATATTAATGCGAAACAAAACTGTTTGGTTACCAACATTCTTCAAAATATTTTTTTGTTTTCAGCAGAAGAACATAAGTTACAAATCTGGAACAATATGAGGGTGAGTAAATGATTATAGAATTTTCATTTTTGAGTTGACCATCCCTTTAAATATAATAAGGGGCTATTCACACAGAAATGCGCTACTTTGTCCTACTTTGCCCCTAAAACCACAAGCCACACAGTTTGAGACCGCCAAAAGGAGTCGAAATCATCTGACCATGACTAGTATCAGATTATTGCAAATAGGAAATTTTACCTCCAATGGCATCAATTTCATCAAAGAAGATCAGACAGGCTTTCTTGGTCCTTGCCATCTCAAACAGTTCACGGACCATCCTGGCACCCTGGATTTGACACAAAAACATGTTGTTATACAGATTTTTTTCATGCATTTAATCACCTATTTTTTTTAACAGCTTGATAGAAAAGGCACGTACCTCTCCAACATACTTCTGAACCAGCTCGGATCCGATGACTCTGATGAAGCAGGCATCAGTACGGTTAGCCACAGCTCGTGCACACAGGGTTTTCCCTGTACCAGGGGGCCCGAACAGCAGCACACCCTTTGGAGGCTCAATACCCAGGTTCACGAAGCGCTCGGGCTGGAATTAGGAAGATCGAGATTGATTTTCGAAATTAAGTAGTATTTCAGACATGTAATATCTACGGTTTATTTTTAATAGGTACATTTGGATGTAGTCATGACTCACATGGAGCAGAGGGGTCTCAACCACTTCTCTCAACTTCTCGATCTGCTCTTTGCAGCCTCCAACGTCACTGTAGGTCACATCAGGCTTCTCCTCCACCTATTTATGTACAGTGCATAATTATATCTGCAGTTTTGTCTTGCCTAATGTTCATGATCCCAAGCAGCCTAAGCTGTTTTGTACCTGCATCATAGTCACAGTAGGATCAATTTTGGGTGGCAGTGGAATATGGATCTGATATTTATTCCTGTCAACCCTGTTAACAGATACAGAACGCGGTTAATAATAATGTTCCTGTGGCTCAGTGGTAGAGCATTGTGTTAGCAGCGCAAAAGATTGTGGGTTCAATTCCCAGGGAACACATATACTGGGAAAAAATGTATAGCCTTAATGCACTAAGTCGCTTTGGATAAAAGCGTCTGCTAAATGCATAAATTATTATTATTAGAACGAGCTGTTATTATTTAGATACAAGCTGAAAAGTTTAATAGAGTAGAAAGGTCTGATCCATTATTTCCTGCTTACCCAACCCTCATTCCTTCCTCAATGTCAGTTGGAGCGACCTGATCGCTCAGGTCCACCACAAACTTGGCAAACTGTTTCACATTAATAATGTACTTTGGATCCTCAGAGTCGGAGTTGATTATCTTGGTGCATCTATGAACAAATAAAAACATAGATATGAGCTTTTTTAATGGCTGATACTGACTTCTGAACCAGCTCGGATCCGATGACTCTGATGAAGCAGGCATCAGTACGGTTAGCCACAGCTCGTGCACACAGGGTTTTCCCTGTACCAGGGGGCCCGAACAGCAGCACACCCTTTGGAGGCTCAATACCCAGGTTCACGAAGCGCTCGGGCTGGAATTAGGAAGATCGAGATTGATTTTCGAAATTAAGTAGTATTTCAGACATGTAATATCTACGGTTTATTTTTAATAGGTACATTTGGATGTAGTCATGACTCACATGGAGCAGAGGGGTCTCAACCACTTCTCTCAACTTCTCGATCTGCTCTTTGCAGCCTCCAACGTCACTGTAGGTCACATCAGGCTTCTCCTCCACCTATTTATGTACAGTGCATAATTATATCTGCAGTTTTGTCTTGCCTAATGTTCATGATCCCAAGCAGCCTAAGCTGTTTTGTACCTGCATCATAGTCACAGTAGGATCAATTTTGGGTGGCAGTGGAATATGGATCTGATATTTATTCCTGTCAACCCTGTTAACAGATACAGAACGCGGTTAATAATAATGTTCCTGTGGCTCAGTGGTAGAGCATTGTGTTAGCAGCGC